TGGCTTTTTACCCTGCTCGAGCCGCTCATGGAAAATATTCGCATTGTGGTCCTGATGAATATGCGGCGCGTGTGGTATGTTGGAAATGAACTCACGCATGGGAAACTAGCCCCTCCAACAGAAGCATCGCGACACTTCTTACAGGGGTATACAAACTCTCTCATGTGCATTCAACAACATTCATCGGGGAACATTGAGAAAGGCAAAATGGTGGTGCACGTACTAGCTAGCAAGAGCAGCTACGACACGCAACATGCAGAAAACCAGCAGGAGGAGATTCCTGGTCACTGCCTGCCCATGGATGGACGAAATTAAATACTCTTCCCTTTTCGGTTTACATGGCTTAATTTAAAAATCTTTTCAACCAAGATAGATGATGAATAGTGAAATTAATTCCGTAGTTTGCAAAAGTACTTAATTAGCACTCTTGTTTTTCTAAAAAATTATGTATACCGATGCATTAATTACATCACATACATGCATGACCACTTAATGACCAAGAACTTCTACATGCATTGGTGAGTTTTTTCCTCATCCTTACATGCAGTGATTTAATACACCTTGAAATCTGAACATTTGATGGTTAGTAGAATTGAGACTTATAAAACGAAAAAACAAACTTTTTGAGATGAGCACTATAAACCGGAAAGGAGGGAGTACTGATGGAAGTTATATCAAGGAAACAAGGGCGGCTGGTGGTGGAATGGTGCTTCCACATGATACCAGCGCTATTATTTTTACTGCATGCAGACAAATCACCACATGCGATGATGGACTAGAGGCAGAGCTTATGGCGTGTAAGGAAGGCCTTGATCTTGCTCTTCACCGCACTGTCTTACCCATTGTCATTGAGTTGGACTGTGCTCATGCAGTCTCGATGTTAAACACGAGTCATGGGGACCGCTCGAGATACATGACACTTGTGCGAGACATCCAGTCCCTGATGTAAGAGGACCCACGGGATATTTTGATTACGCATATTAGGCACACTCAAAATAAAGTTAGTCATAGCCTCGCAGCCTACGGGCATAGTACACCCCATACTGCCATTTGGTTTGGTATAGGCACAGATGAAATTGTAAACTTGTGTACAGCTAAAGTTAGTCATAGCCTCGCAGCCTACGCGCGTAGTACACCCCGTACTGCCATTTGGTTTGGTACGGGCATAAACGAAGTTGTAAACCTGTGTACGGCTGAAAAGCCGCCTTGAGTTATGAAATCTCCCTATTTTTTCGCAAAATAAGGATCAACCAAGCGGAAAATAATATGTAGGAAGAGGGATTGATCCTTGGTCTTCTACGGGAGAGCTAGCGCTGCTATCCGCTCACCCATAGTCCCACACGAGATAAGAATGAGAGGCATTCCGTTGTTGACGCGTGTGAAGTCGGTTTTCCATTTGTTTTCACGATTTTTTTTTGTTTTTTCTTCATTTTTTGTTTTCGTTTTACTTCTTCATTTGTTGCTTAGTTTTCTTTTTCCCTTTTCCTTTTTTTTCATTTTGTTTTTGGTTTTTATTCTCCAGGTTTTCCTTTTGTTTTGGTTTTTCCTTCAAATACTTGTTCAACATTTTTTCAGATACGCATTCAACATTTCTTTAAATACTTGTTCAACATTTTTCAAATATTTTTCAACATCTTTTCAAATACTTGTCAACATTTATTTTGATACTTGTTCAACGTTTTATATACATGATCAACATTTTTTGAGATACTTGTTCAACATTTTTTAAATACTTGTTCAACATTATTATTTCAAATGCTTGATTAACATTTTTATATACATGATCAATATTTTTTCTAATACTTGTTCAATATTTTAAAATAGTTGTTCAATATTTTTTAATATTTATTCAGCATTTTAAATACTTATTCAATATTTTTAAATACTTGTTCAACATTTTTAAATAGTTGTTCAATATTTTTTAATATTTATTCAACATTTCAAATACTTATTAAATATTTTTAAATACTTTTAAACATTTTTAAAATACTGGTTCAACCATTTTTAGTACGTATTAATTTTTTTTCAATACGTGTTCAACATTTTTCATATTTATTTAAAAATTTCAAATACTTGTTTAACATTTTTCGAATAGTTGTTTAACATTTTCTAATACTAATATAATTTTTTTTCAAATACTTGTTCAACATGTTTTAAATGTGTGTTTGAAAAGTGTTTTTTTGTATATATATGTAGAATATTCTAAAACGTAAATAAAATTTAAAAAATAAACGAGAACATAAAACAGGAAAAAATAGGCCTTTGCCTCCCGAGGGGCTGGGCCGGCCCATCTGGGTGCCCCCCGACGCGAGGCGTCCCATGTGGAATCAGCAGCTTTTTGAAGCATGTGATATCATCTTCAAAGGTAGGGACACAAACAAAGAAGCTCATAGCTTGGTTAAATTTTCGGTTTCTCTTAACCAGGCTATCCACATGACCCTCTTTGATGTCTCAAAAAAAAACATGACCCTCTTTGTATTCCTCTCTCCAATTAATCAATAAAGTGTTCTTCACTCCTTAAAAAAAAAGTGCTCGCACAAGGTGAGGAATAGGGGCGCTCGATTTGTCGTGCCTGGCACGTTTAAGCGTCCGCCGGCCGTGGCGTGCCGGCCCACTTTGCCAGGCTTGGTTGTAAACCACTCACTGGTCCACTTGTCACTAGAATGGGTTAGAAACTACTACCAAATTATGGTACAAGATGGAGCCCGATCTCTCCCCCTGATCTAGTGCGAGAGAGCAGAAACCCCAAACCCTAGATAGGGAGGGCGAGCTAGGAGAAGAGAGAAGGATGGACATGTCGAGGGTGGGCGTGCTGCGGGCCTTCGTGGAGGCTTGCAAGAAGGACCCGGCGCTGCTCGTCGACCCCAGCCTCGCCTTCTTCTGGGACTACCTCACCAGTCTCGGCGCCGACCTCCCCGCCGCCGCAGCTGCCAAATCCGGCCCCAAGGTCCCTACCCACCCCACTCCCTTGATTTCTGTTCCGATCAACGAGGAGGACGGCACGGACATGCGGGACCCCACCGTGGAGACCGACGAGCTCGACGAGGACATCGTCGAGTCCGATCTCTAGCTCGAGGGGGACGTCGTCCAGCCCGACCACAGCGACGCTCCCCAGAAGATGGGGGATCCTTCGTTCGAGGTGACTGAGGAGAGTCGCGATGCATCCCAGAAAGAAAAGGGCATGGCGACGGAGGCAATATCAGAAGGTAGCCTGGTTCCCGATTGCATTAGACTCGATTACCATTTTTGTTTTCTGATCCGCCCATGTGTGTGCGTGTGCACGGTTTTAATTGTCAGGGAAACTGCAAGAAGCTATCGAGCATCTTACCAAGGCAATCCTCCTGAATCCAACCTCTGCAATGATGTATGCTACTAGAGGTATAATATAGAGCCCACTTACACATTCCTTCCTTATGTAACTGTACAGAACATACTTACTGCTATGTCACTAGCAGCACAAATTGATTAAATTTATGGAATCTTTGTATTTTAATGCAGCATCTGTGTTCATTAAAATGAAGAAACCTGCTGCTGCCATCCGTGATGCCAATGCAGCCCTACAGGTGAAAACTATGTTCCCCTTTTATTCCATATTGTTTTTCTCTCGCTCATTTTCATGCACTATACATACTACTCCCTCCGTTCCGAAATACTTGTCTTGGATTTGTCTAGATACGGATGTATCTAGACTCATTTTAGTGCTAGATACATCTGTATCTAGACAAATCTAAGACAAGTAATTCGGAACGGAGGGAATAGTAAGGTACACGTGCATTACACGTGGGAGCATAGATAACTGAAGTATGCACGTGTATTACGCGCCATGCCACATTATAACATGCATACATGTGAGTTTGGAGTTATATATGCCTAGCTAACATATAAGATGTAGATTTAATTCTCGTAGTTCATCCCATTGAAACTGAAATTATACCTAAAAAGTATGTTGAAGACCGCAGGGTATATACAATACAAATCTCATGTGAAATATATCCAACAAGTTTGCTTTTAACTTTTTAAGTATCTCATATTGCAGTTTTGAGTAGCTAGTATTGAATCTTCAAAGACCAATTTACTTTATGAAAGCGCTATTATAGGCTTGAAATTCAAAAAATCATAAAAAAATTGAACAGCTCTTTTTTTGAAAGAAAATGCAATGAAGGGTCTAGAACAAAGAGAATTGTCTATGATTTGAAGTTTATACATTGAAATAAAAAATTACAGTAATTTAGTTAGAAAGAAAACAATTAAAGAATTAAAATACAGAATATTCTAGAACAAAGAAGAAGTACCTTTTTAAGTTTGTGCACCAACCATGGAATCTTCTAGATAATAGATGTGGCAGAATCAGGTAACGTGAAGAGGATATCCAATGGCCAATAGTGCTTGGATTTGCCACATCTCTACCGTCGGATTGGCTTCATCCAACAATTAATATTTGAAGTTATTTCGTACACTATATAGTGATATGGACATAGAGGTCAAGGGAAGAATTGAAATTAAAAGGATGGTTAGTAATGCATTACTTACGTCAATTCTAACTTGTAGCAGGATGAGTGTAAGTATGTAACTCACCCATCCTACTGTCGCCTATTTCTCTATCTGTCACTTTCTTGCAACTATGCTTTATCTGGTCTAGTGGCAAAATTGGATACAAAGGATACAATACTTATGCTGATTCTAACTTGCAAGTATGATGCCCTGTAACTTAACATCCTTGTATTTCTTATAGATCAACCCTGACTCTGCAAAAGGCTACAAGACTCGTGGAATGGCTAACTCTATGCTGGGCAAGTGGGAGGAAGCTGCTCGTGATCTGCATGCCGCACCAAACATTGATTACGATGATGAGATCAGAACTACCCTCAAGAAGGTGGAGTATTTCTTCAGTAGCTATGTCAATTCTCCCTGCATGCTACATTACATGCTTATATGATCTTGATTGCCCATCTTGCAGGTGGAGCCTAATGTACACAAGATAGTGGAGCACCGCAGGAAGTATGACAGGCTCTGGAAAGAGAGGAATGACAAGAAAGCTGAGCGTGACCGGCTTCGTCGACGTGCTGAGGCACAGGTCATTCTTCATAGTACTAAAATTTCTACTTCTGGTTGGAGCTCAGGCATAATGTTGGTCATTGTTAGATCTGAATTCGTGCCGTGTGCTTTCAACAGGCTGCTTATGAGAAGGCAAAGAGGAGCGAGCAATCACCAACTGGAGGCATGCCTGGTGGTTTCCCTGGCGGTGGTATGCCTGGAGGAATGCATGGTGACTTTCTTGGAACTGCCAAGAGGCTGCTGTGTTCCACAGCATCAGCTGAATACATATCTGAGGTCCTCGATGACGACAATATAAGTTCCTCACAAGTGCCAGCAACACCGCTGGACAGTGATGACCTGCTGGAGATGATCATCCTCCACCTCCCTCTTCAGCCGTCCTCCCTCCCCCGCGCCTCCCTTGTCTGCAAGCGCTGGCACAGCCTCCTCTCCGATCAGAATTTCACAGCATGCTACCGCAAACACCACCGGAAGGCTCCTCTGTTGGGCTTCTTTGCTGGGTTTGATGAAACGAGCCTCAACTTCGTTCCTTTCCCTGACACGGAATCCAACAGCATCCCCATCCCCACCGAGCGCTTTGCCGTGCCCGAGAGCAGCAGACACTCCTACTTCTGGAGCTTCTTGGGCTGCCGCCATGGGCTCGCTGTCCTGCTCAATGAGAGCCTGCGCAAGGTAGTCGTGTGGGACCCCCTGACCGGACAGCAGCACCGCGTGTCTTTTCCACAGGAGCTCTCCAACGAAATCTTCGACGAAGATGGTGAGTTCATACTCTGGCAGTGGCACGCCGCGGTGCTGTGTGCTGATACCGAGGAGGGGCGCATTCATGGCGATTGTTTCTCGAGCCCGTTTAAGTTGGTGCTTATCCGCAGCGGACAGTCAGAAGGATATTTCAGTACTCTACCGACATATGCCTGCCTCTACGATTCAGCGTCTGGTGGGTGGGGAGATGTTGTCTCGACGGACGCTAGAGACTTGATTCTAACGACGAGCTCTAGCATTCTCACTGGAAATGCATTTTATTGGTTATTTCAGAGAGGTGATATCCTGGTATTTGATATTGAACGGCAGAGCCTTGGTTTGATTAAGAAGCCAGCATGCGCCCCTCGTCCAAACCACTCAAACTTCCAGCTGTTACGGACAGATAATGGTAGTGGTCTTGGCTTGGCAGTAATGTCAAACTCGAGCATCCAACTGTGGGAAAGGAAATCAAACTATGATGGCGTTGTTGAATGGGTGCTGCTTCAGAAAAACTTTCAATTGGAGAGGCTCTATCAGAAGGGAATGCGTAGCAAGCTCCAAGAGGAATATCTGGTGGGATATGAGGCAGATCTGGTGGGATACGATGAGGAATCAAATGCACTTGTTCTGGCTATGGATTTTGGCGTGTTCATGCTTGAACTTGACTCGATGCAGTTCAGAACTCTTTCTAAAAGCTCACGTTGGGGTACCAAGATCCACTATCCATACAGAAATTTCTTTACTGCAGGTAATACTTTTGTACCTCGCGTAACAAGATTCAATGATTCATTCCAGTTACTATTGGTACGTATTTGTTGTATTATTGTTTTTGTGATTAAGGGCCTGACTAGATATAACTTGAGTTACTCGTTTCTTTATAAGTCTGGCGATATAGTGGAAAATTGGCAATGTAATTCAGTATAATTTTACTGGCTAAATTAAATCTAGTACATAAATATAACTAAAGCTCTTCTTGCCACATGGCCATTTCTGTACCACGTTTGTGAGCTTGTATTGATCTTTTCATCCGAAATTTCTATCAATAGGTAACTGGCAACAACTGCAGTAAAAGAATGTGAAGTAGTTAATGGATTGGCACATTTTAAAGCTTAAAGCTTGTTAGGTTTTACTCCCTCCGTCCGAAAATACTTGTCATCAAAATGGATAAAAAGGGATGTATCTAGAACTAAAATACGTCTAGATACATCTCTTCTTATCCATTTTGATGACAAGTATTTCCGGACGGAGGGAGTACCATTCAATACATATGCATTCCCTTTTGAAGACAATGTTTATTTTTATTCATCTTGATACTAGTGATCAACTCAAAACAGCATGCATTTTATTTATTTATCGAAACATAGTACTAGTTCTTTAAATTCCGATAGTACTTTCATTTTGCACGGAGGTTTCTTGATCTTTGCATATTTTGTTTGAAGCCACTGAACATAGCTGGTACAAATTACCTCCTGAATAGTTCTTTCAACATTTAAACATCCGGTAAAGGATTATTATTACTCTCTCTTGCATCTGGCAAATGGCAAGATTCATAGCTTCATTTATTGTCCTTGTCACTACTTCATTTATTGTCCTTGTCACAAAATCTTCTGAACCCCTCCCCTCATGTTATACATGAATACATAGTGGTTTGCACGTATATGACTCTCATGGATTCTACTTCTCCTTGAATTTTCATTGTTTACTTGGCTTCTTCTCCCTGTAGGTAAGGGTGTTGGCTGGAGACGGGCTGTTCTGGACCTGTGAACACATTAGATCTGCAAATAATGTGCTATGTTGGTTGAACAGGTGAGGTCAGCTAATCTGTTTGCAATGCGCATATCTTTTTTTTTTGTTGGTTATTACTCAGTTTATAAGATCATGATTGTTTTAGGCCTGCAGTGCACGAATTTGATTTATTCCTAATTGTATATATAGTTCTTACATTTCCAAAAGGCGTGCCTTTGAGTTACAATCCATATGTTGATACTTTGTAGTCCGGGAACCTCTCATATGCACATGATACACAACTCAAATGACTTGACACTCGAGGAAATTTAGCTTTTGCCTCTGCTGGGGGTGTCGAGTCACTGATCTAATACTAGATTCTACTATGACCACATGTACTAATGTAGCAAAAGAACATTGGAGCATGTCTAAAGTAGAGGTAGGAAGGTGTGCTAGTACAAACTAATTGTTCTGATTATGAGTTAGATACGAGACTGTTGTGCTTTCTTACGTGAGCTTCTAAATCTTGAATGTTGTGAAACTCTAGGAAGTTCAGTATTTGCTTGTGAGGGAAGAATTGAGTCATTGATCTTTTTTGTTTGTATACCAATGATATGTAAATAAGGCCCCGTTCGGCGTCACTCCGCTCCATGGCTCCGCTCCGGGAGCGGGCGGAGCTGTAGTGCAAAATCTAGGAGCCAGCAAACAGCCGCTCCGCAGATCCTAGGAGCGGTGAATTCCCGAGCGGGGCCTAAGTTTTTGTCATTGATCTTTTGTTTGCACAAAACTAAGAACATGCCAATGGTAAAGGTTCAAGGTGTGTAAAACACTACTCCCTCCGTCCGGAAATACTTGTCATCAAAATGGATAAAAGGGGATGTATCCAAACAAGTATTTCCGGACGGATGGAGTACAAACTAAATTGTTCTTGTATTGCCAGGATGATGTTAGTTTTGTCCAATGCTTCCGAGATGATTTATCTTTAGTTTTTTCGCATGATCTGCAGAATTTTGAGTTGATGTTTATTGTTGTGATCATGCAGAATTATGAGATATATAGCTTTGACGGTTGTTCAGTGGGTGACTACATATTGGGTTTCACTGATGGCATTGTGGTTGTGCAGGTATCCAGATTTCAATAGGAGTTGCTACGACACTGTCCGCTGACATGGTTGCCGTTGAAATTAACCCTATGTGTAGTAGTAGTATGTGGTTGTAAATGCTTCTGGGTCTAAGCAAAGCTCTTTTGGTAAAGGGAAGCATAACAAGACGAGAACTTATTCTGCATCCTACGCACTCTCTGTGTTTTCCATAACGTTTGCCAATTTCGGCGTTCTATATCCTGCTAGTTATATCAGAATGTTGAATTTGAATCAGATTCTGAATTGTCATTGTTATTGAACAGCTGCTGCAGTTGCAAAGCTATCTTTACCGGTTTGGGTTAAGTATTCCTGACTCTTGTTAAGTCGATACGAGTCCTAAAGCTGTAATATAGCGTAGATACGTACATATATGTACTACTCCCTCCGTTCGGAATTACTTGTCTCGAAAATGGATGTATCTAGAACTAAAATGCATCTAGATACATCCATTTCTACGACAAGTAATTCCGAACGGAGGGAGTACGTCGCTACACGCTCAAACTTGCGTAGGTCTTCAGGAGAGCCGCTCCTTCCCATGCCGTCTTCCGGCAGCTCTCCTCCACCGGCGACCTTTTGGTTGTCGGTGGTGAGGGGGTCGCCGGATCCCGCGCTTGTGGACTGTTTTAGCTTTAGGTTTTAGGGCCCAAGAAGCTTAGGGTTTTGTATCGTTCGATGTCTTTGCTTCGGCGGCGGCGACAGCGATGCTAAATAAAGAAGCTCCGGATTCTTCTCCGGCGAGTCAATTGTCTCTATTGTCGGTGAAGGATCTGGAACCAGCTCAAGCAGGGATGTCGTGGCGGCGGCGGCATGCTTGTGGTGGACATGTGTCCTGGGGCTCCGTCGTTGCGACGACGTTTGTTCCAACGTCCGTGCGGAGCTTGGGAGGTAGTCGAGGAGCGGATGCAAATTGTGGTCTGCATCGACGACATCTGAAAGATGGAACGTGTGCTGGGCTCGTGGTTCATGGATGGCACGTATGGTTTC